GGGGGGGGGGGGGGGGGGGGGGGGAAGGTATTCCGGATGAAATGCAGAGCATGAACAAAGACATAGAGGTGGAAAAGTACAAGGAAACCATAAAGAATGTTTTGTACAATGTAGGTACTTGATGTCAAAATCAGATATTGCTCATGCATTTTATATTTCCTTTGACTCTGTAAATGATTTTATACTGGAACTATATTCAGTATTCTATGTAACAAACCTAAACATCTTCTTGGCCTCTGAGTTAAGAAGCTCATAAGTTCAAAGGTTTTCTTTCTTTCTCTCTCTCTCTCTCTCAGAAGTTAGATATCAAAGGTGTAAGCTTTCCCATGATCACTGTCATTTTTAAAGAAGAATTCTGTCCTCAATACTCTCATAAAACATTATCTCAGCATTTCCTGCAAGGTTTGTATTATCCTTGAAAAGCTGGATTAATTAATCTTGTCCTATCTTTAGCAATTAAAAAGGTGATCTCTAGTCTACCAGGTACAAGTGAGTTTTTCATCCCTGGGTCCCTATCAGTGACCTCAGGATACAGTTGGGTCCCATAAATTCACAAAGCATTCTTCAGAGACAGAGAGAGGTTGTTTTTTATCCCACACGTATGTCATACCAACTTTCTTTATTGCAACCAATCATGATCCCCCCCCCCACACACACACACCCACACACACAGTGATGCTGGCCATTTATATGCTTTTTTTTCTGTTCTGGGTCTTTGGCCAGAGGCAGTGGCATTGACCCATCCTTTATTAAAGGGTTCAGCAACCTGTTAATAAACTGTTATCTTGCTCAGAGAATTGCCTCAGTTTACCTTTTCGTTAAATTTCACACTTGACAGTGATAAATATTTGTTGAATTGAATAGAAAAATTCCTTTACAACTAAACACTTTACTCTAGAAAGCAATCTGGGATCGTGCAAACAAATGACTAAGACGTCCATATCCTTTCACACAAAGATTCTCCTGAGAGGCATAAACCCTAAGGGGGTCACTGACAAAAAGGAAGACTCCCTAGATACTAAAATGTTCATAGTAACATTTCTTTGGTGCTGTAGCAAAGACCTGGAAAGAAAATAGATGCCCCTTCAGTTGTTATTAAGTAATTTTTCAGTTGCGTCTGACTGTTTGTGACCCCATTTGGGGTTTTCTTGGCAAAGATACTGAGTTGGCTTGCTATTTCCTTCTCCAGCTCATTTTACAGATGAGAAAACTGAGGAAAACAGGGTGGAGTGACTTACCCAGGGTCACGTAGCTAGTAAGTGTCTGAGGCCAGATTAGAACTCACAAAGACAAATCTTTCCAACACCAGGCCTGACACTCTATGCACTATGGCGCCACCTAGCGTCCAGCCCCTTGAGTAGGGAAAGGCTAAATGCGCTATGGTAGGTAAAGGTAATAAAGTGTCATGGTGCTGTAAGAAATGAAAACTGTCATGACTACAGAGAAACAAGGAAATACATGCACGCAGTGATAGTGAAGTAAGCAGTGCTCAGAATACACCAGACGCGACAATTACGATCGTGGCGACAGAAAAAATAACAAGCTCAAATAATTAAAAGTGAATGCTAAAAATTCCAGGCCTGGTCACAGAGATTTGGGAAAATGCTTCCTTCGGCTACTCCGCAGGGGAGGGAGTTGACTGCGGGGATCACTGCATACAATGTCAGGGCTTTCTCAAAGTTTCTGGACATTTCACTGAGTTCTTTTCTCTTTTTCCTCTTTTTCTTTTTTAATTCCTGGTTCTAAAGGATGGCTGCCTAGCAGAGGTGAGGGGAATGGATCCAAGGGGGAATCTAAACAATGGGAAAACAAAAAAAATCTATTTTAAAGACAGCACAACAGTTTGCAGATCCTGCTGGGAGTTAAAGAGCACATTTTGTTTTGGAATGAAAATATCTCCCATTTCATCTATTCAAAACATCTTTATTGAATACCTATTGAGTATAAAACATTGAGAGGGGCAATAAAATTGCATCAGACTTAGGTCCTGCCCTCTGGGACCTTACAATCTCATAAGGAAGATGAGGAGTCATGTGCATAAACATCTAAGCCACAAGGCAGCAGAAATGCCATTATGAGCATTATGGCTAGCAAGTACCTAAATAGTTCAGAAAATGAAGAGAACACTCTTTGCTGTGACGATCAGCGAGGATTTTATGGAGAAGGTGTCATCGGAAACAGACTGTGAAGGATAAGCAGGATTCAGTAGGGAGAGACCAGTCAGGACTGGGAGGGAGGCATTCCAGATAGAAAGCACAGCATAAACAAAGATAGGGAGGTGGGAAAATGCAAAGAAGTAGTAAAAGGGACAGCCCAGACTGGATAGAGGGAAGATCGTTGGGCAAAGGCTATGGTATGCCTTGAATATTAGTCTAGGGGGCTGACAATTTCCTTAATGGGCAACCTGGGAGCCTCTCTTAAAAGCATCTGTGCAGATGGCAATATAATCAAAGTAGTCAAGGGGCAGCTAGGTGGCATAGTGGATAGAGCAGTGGCCCTGGAGTCAGGAGGACCTGAGTTCAAATCCAGCCTCAGACACTTTACACTTACTAGCTGTGTGACCCTGGGCAAGTCACTTAACCTCAACTGTCTAACCAAAAAAAAAAAAAAAAAGTAGTCAGTACTTTGGGGGCTTTTTGGGGGCAGCTAGGTGGTGCAGTGGATAGAGTGCTAGGCTTGGATTCAGGAAGACTCATCTTCTGAATTCAAATCTGGCCTCAGATACTTGTGTATCTGAGTCACTTAACCCTGTTTGCTCAGTTTCCTTCATCTGTAAAATGAACTGGAGAAGAAAATGGCAAACCACTCCAGTATCTGCCAAGGAAACCCCAAATGGGGTCATGAAGAGTCAGACCCAACTGAAACAAATGAACAACAGTCAGTACTTTAGAAAGATTGATCAGCTGAGAGTGTGTGGCATAAACTAAAGGCCAGACACTGGAGTCGGGGGGACCAGTTAAGAAGCTACTACAAAGGCTAGGCATGATGTCATTAAGCACTTCACTGAAATAGTCATCTGTATAGAATGAGTGCTTAATAAAAGTTTGTTAAATTTAAATAAATGAGGTTGTGGCAATGAGGAAAAAGAGAGGGTCTACAAAGGAAAAATCAATGGGACTTGGAAACTGATTAGAGGGGAAGGGGAGTTTGAACAGGCATAGATTGTTTTATGACACAAAATGATGAATAATTTATATTCATCACCAAAGAGCTCAAAACACTTCAGGTTTTTCTTTTCATCATACTTCTATAATTTAATTATGCCTATCACAACCTATGTGATGTACACGTCAACAATATTTCTCCTTTTCTACATATGCAAGCTGGGATGTAGGATGTCAGGATGCCTCACAGGCAGGAATAGAATCCTTGGTTCCCAAGCTGATGCACTTGATCATGGGAACGTCCCAGGAACACTCCAGATGACGCAACAAGAGATAGGGAGAGAGGGAAATGATGGTCATCAAAGCCCAGTGCCTTTCACTGGCTACAAAACAAGAAGGAAAATACAGATAGAGCTGCAATAGAGGAACACTCTATTAAAAAATTAATGCTTTTAAAACACAAAGGACCATAACTATTCACTTCACATTTTCCAAATCCTGCAGCCTGTTGAAGAAATTACATTCCCCGTCCACTGAACCTTCTAATTTTCTGTGGTTTATGAAACAAGAAAATTCATACCACAGGAAGGCCAAATGATAAATGTCTGCTTTAATTTTATCAATGCATTATTATTATCTGTCCTAAAACTCAAAACTGTTAACTACAGGAAAAGTTGGCCAGCCCTTTGTTTGACTGATGGATGACCAGCTATCAGACCACAGCAGAAATCCATAGATATTTATTCCTTGCTCTTTTGTTCCTGGGGGCAGTAAGAGCTAGGGGAAGGCTCTCGAGTCTGTGAGAGGCACTTGGGCAGCCATTGTAATATGACCTTCAATACTGCATGTCTGCCTGAGAAGGCGTTTCAAAGCATCTTTGCCAAGAGGTAAATCTAATCTCAGCATCCCTGCTGAACAACCGAACGCCATGT